ACTAATCAACAGTAAAAAAAAGAGAAGAAATAAATTACCAGTATCAGAAATGCAAGAGGGAGTCAGGGTCATCACAAAAGATTCTCCAGACACTAAAGGATAATAATGAAGTTGTGCACTTGATGCCAATAAATTAGGTAAGTTAGACCAAATGTGTAAATCCATTGAAAGACTCAAATTACGAAAGCTCAATTAAAAAAAAAAGCCTGGGCCTCCCCGGTGGCGCAGCGGTTGAGCGCTGGGTTGCGAAGCTGCCCGCAGCCTCTGTGACGCCGGTTCGATCCCCGGCTGCTCCCCGGCCACCGGAGGAGGGTCCCACATGGCGCACAGACCTCTCCTGCCAACCGCTGCTCCCCTCAGCAGTGTACCTCGGTCCTTCTGCCTGCTCTGCTCCCTGCTCTGGCTCTGGTGAATTCTCTCGCCCTCCCGCGCTTCTGACTGTACCCAGTGCATGTATGAACAAAACAAACAAACAAACAAACAAATAAATAAATAAACATGCCTCTATAAAAAAAAAGCCTAATTTTTATGTCTGTTAATGAAATCAAATCCTCAACTTAAGAACCATCTAATAAAGAAATCTTTTTTTTTATTTTTAGATTTATTTATTTATACAAGTGCTGGGGTACAGGCCAGAGGTACAGGAGGGTGAGAGCATTCACTAGAGACAGAGCTCGGAGCAGAACAGGCAGACGGACCAAAAACACTGCGGAGGGGAGCAGCAGGCAAGACAGGAGAAGTCTGCCGCACTGTGTGGGTATCTCCCTGGCCAGCTGGGAATTGAACCCACGCTGCAGCGGCTGCAGACAGCTTCACAGCTCTGCGCTCAACCTGCTGCTCCACCAGGGGGGCCCATAAAGAAATCTTTAGATACAGATGGCTTCAGTGGCAAATGCTACCAAACATTTAATAAAATAAATAATACTTATTCTATACAAATGATTCCAGGAAGAAGAAAAGTAGTGAATAATACCTAATTACACAGATAGTAAAAATAAAAGGAAAAATACTAAAAGATTACTAATCCATATCTTTCATGAATACAGATGAAAAATCCTCAGTAAAATATTAACAAATCACATCCAATAATGTAAAACAAGGTAAAATAATCATGACCAACTGGCATTTATCCCAGGAATAACAGCACTATTTCAATATTAAGAAATCAGTGTAATGACCAGATCAACAGACTAAAGAAAAAAAAAATAAAAGATGTAGTAAAATCACCATCAAAGTAGAGGTTTAAGTGGACGTCCCATAGAAAGCCTATGATTACGCATAACATCCCTACCCAGTCAATTAGTGTAAAAAGAGATCTAGTGGAGAGACTGAACTTCCACCTACCAGCTTATCAATGACACTGAGGAACTTTGTCCTACCTTACAGCACCCCACAAACCTCTACCAGTGATGTATCTAAGAGACAGTCAACTAAAACAAAAAATTTAAATAAAATCCAAAATTTCATAACAGAATGCCAAAATTTTCTGCAACACAATAAAAAATCACTCATCATAACAAGAAGCAGGAAGATCATGACTTGAATAAAAAAGAATGATGAATAGATGCTTTATCCCAAATGAAATAAAAGTTGGAATGATCTGACAAGGTTGTAAAGTAGCAATAACAAAAATGCTCAGTGAGCAAGTATGGAAAAAATATTGAAATAAATTAAAAACTAAAAAATCTTGCAAATAAATAGATGTTATAAAGAAGAGTAAAATAGAAATTTATAAATTGAATTTTACAAACTAAAGTAAAAACTCACTGGGTAGGTTCAGCAACAGGGTGGAGAGGACAGAGGACAGAATCCATGAGTTTGGAGACAAAGCAATAGAAATCATCCAATCTGAATAACAAAGAAAATAGGTTGAAAAAAATGACATAGCCTCAATACCTGTAGGACCATAATTAAAAATCCAATGTTCTGTTCGTATCATCAGAGCGTTAGAAAGAGAGGACAAAGAGGGTCAGACTGAATAAGTATTCTAAGAATGTCTGAATTTTTCCCAAACTTGGAAAAAGACATAAATTCAAGAAGTTGAGCAAATTGTACACAGAAAAAGTCCAAGGAACTCTAAGCCAAGACACATAATAAGCAAACTGTTAAAAAAAATTCTTAACAGCAGTGCTTTTACTTACAAGGGAAAAACAAGTAATGGCAAATTTCTCATAAGAAACCATGAAGGTCAAAAGGAACTGGGACATTTTTCAAGCCCTCAAAGTAAAGAATTGCCAATCAAGAATACTATATCCAGTGAAAATATTAGAAATGAAGGAGAAAGCAAGATGCTCCAGATGCAGGAGAGCTAAAAAAAATTGTCACCCATCCTAAAAAGAATTAAGAAGTTACTAATTAGAAAGGATATGATAAAAGAAAGAAAATCACAACATCAGAAAAGAAGAAAAAAACAATGGAAAGAATAAAAGTATGGGTAAATATTTTTATTCTCTTCTTAAGTGCTCTAAATGACATTTGATGGTGGAAGCAAAAATTATAACAATGTCTCACATAGCTGTCAATGTAGGTAGAGGAAATAAAGACAATTATGGAAGAGGGCAAATAGATTAGAAGAAGATATGGGTTTTAAAGTTCACTGATACTAATAAAGTGACAAACTTATGACAAATTATGTGCAAGATAATACTACAAAAATCTATAAAAGAGAATCACTCAAAACATGATAGATAAATCAAAATGGAATTCTGAAAAATGGTCAAGGGTTCCACAAAAAAAACAGGAAGGAGAACAATGGAATGAGAAAGAAAGTATCAGAAAAGAAAATTAAACTGGCAGATTTAAAACCTGACATTCAATAATTAAATATAAATGGCTTAACCATACCAGTAGATACATTAATATAATTTCACGGTAATTTAAAAAATGACTCAACTATATGCTTCCACAAGAAACGCACCTCAAATATAACATGGTAACTTGAAGTAAAAGGAAGGCAAAAGAGATACCATGCTAAATCCTAAATGTATATACGTACCTACAAATAGATAAACAAAGCAAAAGGAAGGTGAACTTCAATACTCCTCTCTCAACAACTGAGAGAAAAATCAGCAAAGACATGGATGGAGCTAGAAGGAATTATGCTCAGTGAAATAAGTCAGAAGGAAAAAGAAAAATATCGGATGGTATCACTTATAGCAGGAATATAGGAGAACCAAATAAGACATCAGTGTAAAAAAAATAATAACAGTACAAAACACAACAAAGCAAAAACAGACAGTTATAAGCCAGAGACACCCTGCAGGGGAAGAGGCGGGAGAGGGATCAGAGGGAGGGAGGGCGGAGCACAGGGGACTGAGGTGATGGTGCACGGGTGCCTTGGGGAAGGAAACTCTATGGGGACTACACCTGAGGGGTTGGGGGAGCAAACATTGTTTAAAAATGAACAATGATGTAAAAAATATGTAAATAAAAAGAAAAATTTTTTAATCAGCAAAGAAGTAGAAGAACTCAACACCAAAACCACATTTATCCTAGGATACTCCACCCAACACAGCAGAATATACATTCTTTTCAAGCATCAAAGGAATCTGCACTGGATCGTATAACAAATCTCAATAAATTCAAAAGAATTAAGAACATTCAGGTGTGTTCTCTGACCACAATGGAATCAAGCTAATAATAACAGAAGTATAATAGGAAAATCTTCTAGGCTCAGATGGCTTCATTAGTGAATTCTACCAAGTATTTAAGGCAGAAATACCAATTCTACACACTCTTCCAGAAAATTGAAGAGGAGTTAAAAATTTCCCAATTCTTCTGTAAGACCAGTATTACTCTGATACCCAAGACAAAGATTTTAAAGAAAATTACACATCAATAACCTTATGAACATAGCATAAAATGCAACAAAATTTGAGTAAATTAAATCCAAAAATACATGCAAAGGTTAATACATCCTGGGGGGGAAATTTATGAGGTTTGTCACAGAAATACAAGGTTGGCTTATCATTTGAAAGCCAACATAATTTAGCACATTAACACAACTATAAAAAAGAAAAACATATGATTATCACAATAGCTGCAGACATATCATTTGATAAAAGCCAACATCCATTCCTGATAAAAGTTCTTAATAACTTAGAGGAGAATCTCCTCAATCTTATAAATGTCATCAATGAAAAATACTACCAACATCATACTTAAGTAAGGAACAAGAGACCACTTCGGTTCTGTACCAGGAACACAGAATTGCATGGAAACTGATTTTATTCACAATCCATATGATTACATATTGACTGAAACATACATATACATACCACATGTGATCTAGCCAGATTTCAGAATATAAAATCAATATATAAAAATCAAGTGTATTTTTATACAGTAACCACAAATAATCAGAAATTGAAATTTCTAAAATACCATTAACAATATGCCCCAAATGTGAAATAATTACAGATCGTTTTCACAAGAGATGTGAAAGATGTGGTCACTTAAAGTTACAGAACATTGATAAGCATAACTAAGTCCTAAATAAATGGAAAGCAGAAAGTTGCAGTCAAGTCATGCATTACGAAAATCAAAAAGAGAATATGAAACTTACCTGTATGGACATATTTTCTGAAAATTTTGCTGATTTTTCTTTTAAAAATGTAACAAGGTCTTTGTAAATTTCACCTTTTCTTTCATAATCAATTTCCCCATCATTGTCTGTTTTGCCCTTTGGGAGAAAAACTTGATGCTATAATTAATGTAATAGCAATACAGAACTCTAAGCAGTACATTACAGCCCAACTACATCTGATCTCTAAACGATCCATGTGGTAGTTGTGAATCATGCAATGTTCAGGTAAAATCCTTCCCCCAAAATATTACTTATCCATTCATTCATCCATGTATTCAGCAAGCCTTTAATGAGTACCTCCTACATGAATGTGATTCCACTACTCAGAAAAATAGTGAGAACCTCCCCCTTTCTTCATCCCTCTAATATGAAAATACATTATGACTTCAATAGCCTCTGATGAAGTCATAAAAGGCCTCAAGATTAGAATCTCACCAGGAAAAGCCTATTTCTGTTTGTCACTCTCTGCTCGTGTTCTGTGTGTAGTATTATTGCTATAGGCTTATTTTCTAGGGTTATGATCCTTATGTAACCATCTGTCTCTCAATGTTCTAGAAGCTTCTGTAACTGTCCCTCTTCTTGTCAGTTCCCCTTCATTTCCCTTCCCTTTCCTTCCTCCACTATTCTCTCTTAACCCATTATATAATACTGCAATATTATATCAATGTGAGGTTTAAAACAGGTTCATCTTCTAGTCTTTTCTAGTCTGGTTTCAGGACAAGGACAAGACAGGATTCAAGGACAAAGACATTACAAGAATTTTGCTGCTCCTATGGACAGGTAAATAAGAGGTTAAAATCCTGATGACTCTAAGGCCTGAACACTTGCTGCCTTAAATTTCCTTAGTTCATTTCGTTTTTACCATGTCTGAGCTCTTTCCGCAGCTTATCAAGTTGGCTGCTATGGGAAGAAAAGGGAGTTGCAGACCCAGGAGGAAAGCATCAGATCTTGAGACCAGACAGGGTTGCACTGCAGCTGCAGACACAGTCTCCATGAGGTGTTTGCTTTGGAGATGCTGAGAGCCCTGCACAAGCACTGAGCTGCAGCTGGTGGGTGCTCACAACTAGCAGCAATAAAAGGACTTTCCCCAAGGCCACTCTCCTTGACAACTCGGGGAGTCTCATGCCCAGAGAGGCAGCCCCAGAGCTCCTTTTTCCTACTTTTTTTGCTAATCAGTTAACACTGACTCCTTCCCTGTCTTTACTCATGTCTGTGGAGTCCTCTTTTAAATCTTGACCAGAGGGTCTCAACAGACCTTTCTCAGCCTGGAAGGCAGAACCCCTCAGTCCATCCCTCTGATTTCCAGCGGGTGGAACAGTGCATAGTAGCTGGTTCACACCCAGCATATTCACTGGTGTTGTGGGAGGATGAAACAGACTAAGAGGCCCCAGCCCACTCATGCTGAGTTAGTTTCATGCTCCTTGCTTTTCATCTTTTTAACTGAGAGGAATACTTAGATGTTCCCGTGTATGGAGATCGATAGCTTTTAGCAGAAACAAAGGATCCTTGTCCCATTTATAAGGTCAAAGAAAATCATTCCTTTTCCTCATCTCTTAGCTCCTAATTGGAGATTTCACTTCCCTAAAGTATCAAAACAAACTAAAAGCAAAATCATAGTTAGGCTGTCTCTTTCCTCCATGCAGAAATATACTAAGAAAAACACCAAAGGCATGTCAGGAGTGATCTAGAAAGCAGCACCGGCATTCAGACCCCCACCCGAGTCAAGATGCAACAACTCTCCAAACACTCCCCTGTGGGTGGCTGGTGCCCCCTCAGGATCTGTGTCTGCCCTAAGAATTCTGGGGGTGAGTGCCAACACTTACACTGGCGATACCTACCGAGGACAGGGTATTGAAGAGACAGCTGAGCTCCTACCTAGGTTCAGTGAATAGGCGAGGCTAAAATTAAGTTTTTTAATCCAAATATGAAGGCGAGGTGCCATTTATCTCTGGACTCAAAGCCTACCGTCCACACTATGTTTTGTGTGTTTTTCCTTTGCCAGGTGAAGTTGGCTTCAGTCAGGAGAAAATGAGAGGATGTCTGGAAGAGGCAAAAAAGACACGCTCCCTCCTATTTGCCTAGTGTCCCGCTGAGTCACCACAGCAATGACCCTTCACCCCTGGCAGTGGCAGTTGCTTCCAGTAGCAACAGTTGGTTCCAATTTCCAAAGGGTTTTCCCCCACACTCCCAGAACTGGGTCCATCACAGCCTCTCAGAGACACCGTTATCAGCCCATCAGGCCTCCATCTTCCAAGGTCAAAGGCTCTGCTCTGCAAAGATGCTTCTCTGAGTTCCTGAGGACTCACGGGCAGTGTCCACTGTCCAGACATCTGGGCCCCAGATTCATAGACACCACCCAAGCTCTGAGTGGATCAACCAGCCTAGAAGAGACACTCCTAGGAGGTCTGGGTCCTATTCTGTGGGGGTCTCTCCACTGACATCTTAAGGTACCCTCACCACCTAGCAGTGCCCCTCCCCACACATCCAGGAGCTGCTTCAAGGGGCACTTCCTCCATGCTTCCACAGTTGGAAAACCCCACCTCATCCTCTTCCTGTTTGTCTCCTCAACTCTTAGTCACTGCTCCTGCTTTACCTTGGAGTTGCTGGTTTTTTCTTTTTGCCTTTTCTTTCCTATAATAATTACATAACAAATCAGTGAACTGATGATGTTAAAGACGCTTTCATTTTATTAAGTAGTAGAATGGGTCATTTCTTAGAAGACTGATGCAAGGACCTACAGCGGGGGATACTGGGCCTAGTTCTGGGATAGTTTTGGATTTGCCCAACAAACATAGCAAAGGGATCTGTCTGAATCCCACAGACAGAATAATTTTCTGTGGTAACTGGGATCCAATCCTGGAGACAGGCCTGTATTTGCCAAGACTGAGCTAAGTACCAAAGTCAATACTGGTGTTTTTTTTAAATTTTATTTTTTACATCATTGTTCATTTTTAAACAATATTTGCTTCCCCCTAATGGTACATATCAAAAAAACTAGCAACAACAAATGTTGGCAAGGATGTCGTGAAAAAGAAACTCTCCTACATTGCTGGTGGGAGTGCAAATTGGTGCAACCACTATAAAAAGCTGTCTGGAGGGTCCTCAGTCTACTAAAAATGGAGATACCACAGGACCCAGCAATTCCACTCCTAGAGATCTACCCAAAGGACACAAAATCATTGATCCAAAAGAATACCTGTACCCTTATGTTTATTGGAGCACTATTTACAATATTGCTTTTTAAAAAGTACTTACACCATTTAAAAATACTCCTTGTGAGCTACAAGTAACACACAATGTCTCAGCATCATGTGGTTTCACCAGCACATAACAAATGTCCCCATGAATCTGTCTCCAAGGTGGGGCTCGACATCCATTTGAAAATTCATAATCTGAAACCAATCATCAATCAATTAGAAGGAGCTTCTTAATCTAAACTTTTATAAAATATGTTTGCTTCAAAAAATGATCAAATCTTAAGTAATTTTATTAAATGTCTAATTCTAAAGTAGTTATGGAAGCATCTTGGGAATATAATTCGTTTTATAAACATAAAATGAATCTGAGAGGTCTCCCTGGTGGTGCAAGGGGTTAAGTACAGCACTGTGAAGCTATCCGCAGCCACTGCAGCACAAGTTCTATCCCTAGCCAGGGAGCTACCCACATGGCGCAGCAGACTTCTCCTGTCTCACCTACTGCTGCCTCAGAAGTGTATTTCAGTCAGTCTGCCTGTTCTGCTCCCCACTCTGTCTCTGGGGATTCCTCTAACTCCCCCACACCTCTGGCTTGTACCCCAGTTGTTGTATGCATGAATAAATAAATCTTTTTTAAAAGTAAAAAATAATATGAATCTGAGAAGATACAAACTTGAGGTATATTCGATTGATTCCAGAACGGTTTGCTCCCCTTTTCCTGAGCAACTCTGGAGCATTGCTATGTCATTTTTAACAGCTGATGGGTTTAAACGTATTTCTCTGCAATAAATATTTAGAAATTTATTTCAAGTACTTTAAGACAGAATCCTCAGAAAATACATGAAAACATTCAGGGGAATATCTTTTTTTGTAATTAAAATAGTAAAATTGTACACCAAACAATGAAACTAATTTTAGCCATGTTATTGTCTCTTAAGACTGTCAAAATATCAAGGAACTAGTGACTCAAGTTTAATGCAATACTGAATATGACTTAAAATATCATGGCTTAAATAGTCATTTCATTTCTTAATGATAATACTATATAATACTAGAAAAGACCAGGAAAAAAACACAAACAAGTTTTAAACCTTACAACACCACATAACATTTGCATTATAATTTAATGCCTTATCTATGAATCTTAGAAGACATTGAAAATAAAGAGGCCACTTAATGTCTTCAGAATTAGATGGAACCTCAGAATGTTTTAAACATGTCAACTGCAAATTTTAATTTTTAGAACTAGAAATACACATGATATACATGCAATACTCTAAAAAAAAATTTGCTCCAATAAAATGTTAAATCAATCATAATAACTACCATACTTTATTTTTGTGATATTTCTAAATTCTGAAAGCATTATTTGGATCAAATATTTAGAGTGTTTTTTAAAGACTCACAGTGAAATGTGTTTCAGAGAATGATTGAGGAGGTGCAGATCCAGTTGCTTAAGCAGCCTGGCAACCTTAATCTTAACCTCATTTTCAGGATTGTCATCTTTGGGAATTTTATCAAGATGATTTAATACAAATAAGTCTTCTTTCACTGCATTATAGTCCAAGCCCAGGATTTTTGCTATGGGATCTCTGTTAGCTGGCCAAAAAAGTAAATAAATTGAACTTATTACATCTATTACAAAAAACATAAAGATGAACATATCTTTGGAAACCCACTCACAAGTGTTTGTTGTATTAAGTTTGCTCTGATCGATCTGATTAGAATTACTGTCTACTTCTCAGATTCTTCTGTGTTTAGAAATTTTTTTTATAATTCTTGAGATGTTCTACCTTGTACTGTAATCTAACCTATACATCACATCTCCATAATAGGAGCCAAAACACACTGTTTAGTTGACTGTAAGCCATTGTTCAGAAAAGCCATTAATTAACATATTCAAAACTGACTTGAAGGCCTCCCTGGTGGCAAAAGGGGTTAAGCACAGCACTATGAAGCAATCTGCACCCTCTGCAGCACGAGTTCTAATCCCCTGCCTGCCTGGGAGCAACCCACATGGTGCAGCAGACCTCTCCTGTCTCACCCGCTGCTCCCCTCAGCAGTGTATTTCAGTCAATCTGCCTGTTCTGCTCCCCTCTCTGTCTCTGGTGAATCCTCTCACTCCCCCACACCTCTGACCTGTACCCCAGTTCCTGTATGCATAAATAAATAAATCTTTAAAAAAAATTTTAAAAATTGACTTGAAATACTGGCTTCCTTAGAAGAATCATTACTAGAACTCTGTGCACGCATGCCAGTGTCAGGGTTCACAAATGCTTTCTTTCCAAAACAGCACGATTTTCTCAGTCTACAGATCTCCTGCCAGTCTTTTCTACCTGTTCCTACTGCATATATTTTCAATTCCTTTGATGTTAGAGTTTGAGGAGCAAGTCTAAATAGTATTTACACATATACTAAAATTATAGCCAAAAACATAAGCGCCAACTCATGAGTAAAGCTGACATAGATATAAAGGTTGAACCTAGAGATGCTGAAAGCAAAATTTGGTAAAGGCAAAGAAAAATATATGTTTAAAAAATAAGGGAGAAAGGGGCAAAACCTTGTTTTCAAAGAGGAATTCAAATTAAGCTGAAAATATTGATGTAGTGTGACAGGGGGAAGAGAATGCCTATGGAAATAATTCAGAAAGTTTAACCTGATTAAAATAAAGGAGAGGGATGGCATTAAGACTGTGCCAGGAGAAAATACCAGAAAAGGCTCAGGGCCGAGGAAAGACTGCATGAGCGAGGTGTGAGTTTGAAAGGAGACCTAGATGTTTACTGAGCATCTCAACTTAGCAACCAGATATGGTTGCCATCTATAAAAATTTGTGAAAAGAGACACTATATGAATTTTAAGAAGAGACATTTGACTCTCAAATTGCCAAGTGCCATATAATCTGGACCTAAAACTAAGAGTTGTACCTAGAACCCTTCCAAAAGGGTAAAAGGAAGGATATACACATTTAGCCAATCTAGATATGACAGTTTATATATTAAGTTTACATATCAAGTTGAATTTAATGAACAATCATGCCTCCTCTTGTATTCTGCTTTACTCTCCAGATTTCATCCCTTCCTTTTAAAATTTTTTTATTTTTTTAAATTTTTTACATCATTGTTCATTTTTAAACAATATTTGCTTCCCCCGCCCCAGGGGTGGTCCCCATAGAGTTTCCTTCTCCAGTGCACCCAGTGGACACACCATCACCTCAGTCCCCTGTGCTCCTCCCTCTCTCCCTCTAATCCCTCTCCCGCCTCCTCCCCTGCAGGATGTCTCTGATTTATAATTGTCCATTTTTGCTTTGTTGTGTTTTGTACTGTTAATATTTTTTTACATTGATGTTTTATTTGGTTCCCCTATATTCCTGCTACAAGTGAAACCATCTGATATTTTTCTTTTTCCTTATTTCACTGAGCATAATTCCTTCTAGTTCCATCCACGTTGCTGCCTTCTTAAGAAGGTATTTTGATGTACAGGGAAGAATGGGCAAGAGATAAAAAGAGACTGCTGTCCTAAAAGTTCACATCTTTAAAAAAAATTTTTAAAAGACTATCTTCTCACCTCATTGCAACGGATGGAAGAGTGAGAAGAACTCAGGCACCTTATGCCTGGAACCCACCAGTCACAATTCCAGAGAAGCAAATGACATATATAACCTCATTACCTAGCTGTAGGTATTTCTACTTACAAGAAATATTTATAGCACAGTAATAACATGCAATCAAGTACATTCTTTTTCTGTATGATTAGACAATAATGAGAACAGTCTATATCCTTAATGAAGAGGAACTGTATTTCCCAAGAATGAATGTAAACTACTCAGAAGGCTGTGATGCCACAGTGAAATACAGCTGAGAAAAAAGCAAGATTATTATGGACTATTTCTGCTAAATGAACAGGCTACAATCACTTTAAGGGAAACAGATCCTCATCCATTATAGCAACATGTGTGGAGGGGGGAATCTATGCTGGTGCTTGTAATACCATTTTTTCTCCTGTCATGGACCTCAAAGGCTACAGGCCTCTTGTCATTCCAGAAGCTATGACAGTTCTAGAATCTTATTAATGGGAAAGCATCAGGCCTTCCATTTACAGTGAAAATTTGATATAGGGGCACAACATTTCAGCCGAGGAAATAAATAACATTTTTATGAAGTTGAACATATGACTTTTGAGGTTTTAGAACTTTTTCCAAGATATCATAACAAATTATTGCCCCTTGGATGTGTTTCTAGAAAGTTCACTCTCACCGTGGCGGGTAAATATTACCTTCAATACATGCTTGTGCTTCCTTCAGCTTTGTGTCTTTGGCAAAATATAAAAAGCGCGACAGCTGCCCAAAGGTCCTAATTTTAATTTGTGGTACAGAGAGAGAGAGCAAAGGCTGTCCGTTTTTATCAACTTCTTTTGAGTTGGCTGTTGTTTCACTAAAAAAAGGGGGGAAAAAACTCAAAAGTCTAAGTTACCTGTATATCAGAAGTTAAAGACATTTCATGAAATTATTCTTATATCTCATTATAAAATTTAAAAAGGCTGTAAATACCTCCTACTATAAGCTGCTCTATTTTTCTCTCTCATCCACATTCAGACTATTGGACCTCGAACTTATTAACAAACAGCATGCTTAACATGATATATCTAGGAAGAAAGTTTTTAGCAATTCCCAGAATATCTACATGATCTGAGTCCCACGTTTTGGTTTTGTTTTCCCAGTACTGCATTGGGCAGCTTTAAAAAATCATTGGTTCCTTAGAGCATTCATGT